AAATGGCTTTAAAAAACCTTCTCGTTTCTTTTTTGCGGGGATCTAAGCGCTCCGACCGAAAAGCAATTTAACCCTCTACTGCCGTCTTTTCAAAGTCCAGGCTGGATTGGGAACGGTGGACCTTGCCTTCCAGACGTTTTCAGACTGTAAACTGCCATGATTGTTCACCACCGACTGACTAGTGTTGATGGGGCTTGTATTCCAGCATTTAAAAAACCTTCTCGTTTCTTTTTTGCGGGGATCTAAGCGCTCCGACCGAAAAGCAATTTAACCCTCTACTGCCGTCTTTTCAAAGTCCAGGCTGGATTGGGAACGGTGGACCTTGCCTTCCAGACGTTTTCAGACTGTAAACTGCCATGATTGTTCACCACCGACTGACTAGTGTTGATGGGGCTTGTATTCCAGCAACACCTGGGGGGCTACTGGTTGCCCACCCTCGCTTAAAGGGTATCCCCTCAGCGTTTTCCGCGGCATGCATCCCAGTCTGGGGTATGTGTTGGGTTGGCATGTAATCCATCGGGGAGCGAGGAGGCGATGCCTTGATGCGCATCAAGTTGCCTTTTCAAGTTAATGTTGAACAGGGGTCTCTGTACCACTCACAACGGCGTTAAACTAAGTCGATGCAGGCTGCTCCCCCTCCTCACAACAAACCCCGCAGAATCGTGTCTCTGCTGAGCTGATTTGCCGGTGGGAGGATGTCAGCGTGTCAGTGGCAGCTTGGAAGCACGGGTGGTAGATATTGAAGATGCGGGTCAACCACTGAAGCGAAGCTCTTCTTTTTCTTTCTTTCTTTCTGCTTACAAAGCCCCATCCGACCTAGCCAGTATAGGTATATAATAACAACTCCCATAATCCCTCTCCGTTGCCTATATATACAGAGTATGTGGGGATGACTTTTATTGTGCGGAATCCTAAGCCCTGCACAATGAGGGCAAAACGGGCAGAGCGGGTCTTGTAAGTCTATAACCCAAGTAAAAGACTGCAGTCTCTGTAGGTTCTCGGTAGGTGATCCAAGCAACCCAATCCTTCGAAAGCCAAGGATTAAAATGAGATCCACTCCCACGTAATGCCATGCTTTTCCATCCCACACGCCCGTGGGCATGAAAGAGGGAGAAAAGCAGCGTGCATTCTCGCGCAGGACTCGGTCTGTTCACATCCGCGAAGGCGCTTTGGTCCAGCCCCGCGGTGGGAGGAGTGCTCGCTCTCTTCATCAATCAGGCCCGAGGGGCGCGGCCCAGCGTAGGCCCCGCCTCGTTCCTGGGCTCTGTGGCTGTACCGGGAGCAGTGCCGGCTGCGAGATTTCTGCAGAGCATCGGAAGGGAGCAAAATGTCGTCCAGCAGCCAGCCCCCCAAGAGCGGCTCCCCGCTTAGGAAAAGGGCCAGTCTTCAAACGCCCATCACAGGAGGTGAGCGGGGACAGATAGCATTTCCTTCCTTCTCTGCTGTTGTTTCCCAAACAGAGAGGCTGAGGGTGACCCTCAATCCCATTCCCATAATGAATCCTCATTGGCTCCCCCCACCCCCGTGCCACTTCGTTTCCTACCCAATGCTGATTTGGTGTGATGTGTTTTCTGTGTGTTTAAGCAGGTGGTTGTCCTTTGTTTGAATGTGTGATGTAATTCTAGAACTCTTTTACTGGAAAGTAAGTCCCACTGTGTTCAGTGGAGCTTGGCCCTGGGCTGCATGTATAGAGGATTACAGTTTAGCGAAGATGTGGAGACTGGAAAGGAATGTAAGGGTTGTTTGCTTTGAAGCACAGCATGGCGCATGGATAGATGTATGTGCCTGAGCCCTGTGTTTGTGTGCATGTGTGTGTAGCAAAACCATGCTTGAATGTGTAGAGTAGAACCACAGAAGAGTGGAGACTCCTAATTTTGCCCTTTAGCGCTCCTTACCTGTAGCATCTTTGATTATCTCTATAATGGGCTTTTGAAGTTAACTAGCCTGAATCTTTGGCACATTATGTTATCATTTACCCATGTACAGCTTAAACCGTTGATGAGGATTAAATGTGGGTAATGCATGCTGGAGGTGTTTTGCTTACTGGACCCACAGCAAAGTAAATAGCTGGATCTCTATCTAATTGTAGCTTAGATTCCCGTCCCTGCTACTGACATTCTCACGGTGTAAGATATCCCACAGGATGTACTCCTTGATGGAGCTATATTTATAATTGTTCATAAACCTTATGATAATAGCTATGGCTAATACAGCAAGGGTTTGCAAAAGACACCCCCATGACATTTTTAAAGACTTGGTGCTTAATCAAAATCGGAACCTGTGATAATGAAGTTTGGGAATGTGGTTCAAATGCTAGGCACTACTAAGGTGATGATGATGTATCTGAACATGTGCAGAGTATATTTCACTCCTAGTGAACAGTTGCAGCCAGCTGGTGCCCATAACTGAATATAGCTAGACAAACTCAATCCTCAGCATTCTCTTCTGAGAATCAAAGCCCTGTCTAGACTGTCCTGCTTCATTTGCTTTTGCCCTAAGGGCTTAATTTGGAATTTTTTAGTCAGTCTGCAATACTTTGCAGTTTGTGTGACTTAAACAGCAGGCATAGAAGTGGCTTGCGAGTCTTAGTCTGAGCATTTTGTCTCTTCCAGCTTCTTTTCCTTTTATAGAAAATGTGAAAAGCTGTGTCTTGAAACACATCACTATCTTCACAGTTTCGTGTGCTCATGAATCTGCAGTGTGTGGGTATGTAGGAACTGCAGTTGCATGATAGGGAAACATGGTATTTGCTCTGACTGGCTGCTGCTTCATTTAGTTTTCTTTTATGCATCCTTGCAAGCTTGGAGTTCTGAGTGTCCAAGGCAGCTGACATTTCACACAGTTTTGCTGCCTCTCTTTATAATGGCTTCTCCGCAGGTATTTATTTTTTAATTTGGGAATGACAGTGTTAAGAGTAAGCACTGTGTACTGGGATGTCTGATTAAATGGTCTTATGTAAACCGGGTTGATAACTGGCTGGGTAGCTCTGTGGCTGGGTAGCTCTGGGTAGCTCTGCAGAGCCAGAGGTTGGGGGTTTGATTCCCCCACTGTGCATCCTGGAAAAGTCAACCTGTGTAGCCTTGGGTAAGTTGCACAGTCCCACAGTTACCCCAGAAGAAGGGAAGGACAAACCACTTCTGAGTATTATCTACCTGAAAAACCTGAAAAGGGTTGCCATAAGTCAGAATTGACTTGACAGCATGTGATTATTTTTAAACTGGGTTGATAGATGTTTCTTTAAACCTTGTTTTCTTTGAGGCGTTTGTTGAAATTCTGAAGTATCTACTGCCTGATATCCTCAGTGGCTTGTCCTGTGTTTATGGAACCAGGCAAAATGGAAATGTTCCCCTCACGGTAGTAGAGCAGGGAGAAGAGTGCCTTGGACCGTCTTTTGGCACCAAAACGTTATAAAGTAATGTTTATCCACCCAGTTCCCAAAATACTGCATTCCCAGCAGCCTGGTTCTTAGGTTTTTTTCCAAAGCAGCTGCAGCCCAAGGACTCTGTTTACTGGCTTGTGAGTGATAATTTCAGAATCAATTTGCTGCTTTGTATTGCTCTTCTTACTCAGGTTTTACACCACATTTTTCCTTTCATGAGGCCCAGATTGTCTACGCCCAAGCAAAGGAGGAATGCATGGAAGGCTGCCTGGGGGTTGTTGGTGATTTGAATTTGTCTTCTGTTCCTAACCAGTGGCCAACAGGAAGGTTTCTTTTTCAGTTTTTTTAATTGGGGTAGGTTTGTTTAAAATATTAGCCCCTCCACCCCCAGTCTAAACTCTATTAATCCGGAAACCTACCTTGCCATTGTGCATGCTGTGCAGATTAGCTTCTAACCAAGGGATGCAGGACTACAACTTCCATCATTTGTAATCGACATAACCAGTTGGGGGAAGAGTTACCACCCAACAACCTTTGGAAGGCTGAATATGCTCCACCCTTGCTTTGAGCCAGTGGTTCCCAATCTTGGGTTACCCAGGTGTTCTTAGATGGCAAATCCCAGAAACCCTGGCTAGCACAGCCAGTGCTGAAAGCTCCTGGGAGTTGCAGTCCAAGAATACCTGGTTTATTCAAGGTTCCTGATGCAGCCATGTTGGGATTTAGTCAGATTTTGCTAGGGCTCTTTGTACATACCCCTTTTAAATTTTTTTTAAAGTTTTATTTTATTAAAAGAACATCAAACATAGACAACATAAGCCTACCACCACAATAATATACAATTACATAATACACCGGTGCCACCTTCACCCTCTGTAGGGTCACGAAATGAGCAGGCTGATAGTCTATGTAGTCACGAGTAATTAGGATAGCAAATAGTCTTAGAGAAGTTAAAGAAGTCAGCCACACACACAGAAGGATGTCTGCCAGCAGTGCTCCTGATGGGCGACTAGAAGAGGACTTCAAATAAGACGACTGACCTGCCCCCAGGAGGACTGAATTTATTAACCTTACAAGCTCACAGATAGTTGACAGTACAGTGGTATCTCGATTTACGAACTTAATCCGTATTGGAATGGCGTTCATACATCGAAAAGTTCGTAAGTCGAAGCAAACTTTTCCATAGGAATGCATTGAAAACCATTTAATCCGTACCTGTTGTTTTTCATTCATATGTCGGGGTGCTGTTTGTAGGTAGAGCCATTATTTCCCATAGGAACAACTCTAAAGCTGGTTAATCTCTACTCTGCCACTAAGGGGAGATTTTTTTCTTCTTCTTCTTTTGACCTAAGATGAATTTATGTAAAAAAAGGGGCTGGAAAGTTTTTTTCTGGTTTTTTTTTCATTTGTAAGTCAAGGCTCCATTCACAAGTCGAAGCAACTTTTTGCCAATGGAACCATTCATAATTCAAATCATTCGCAAGTGGAGATGTTCGTAAGTCAATGTACCACTGTATACAGATAGTTGACAGAGTTCAGATAGGACAGTGGTTGCATAATGCCATTATGATTGGCCCAAGGAAAGGCAATTAAGCAAGCGAATCTAAAGCTGGTTAATCTGTACTCTACCACTAAGGGGAGATTTCTTCTTCTTCTTTTGACCCAAGATGAATTTATGTAAAAAAAGGGGCCGGAAAGTTTTTTCTGGTTTTTTTTTTCATTTGTAAGTCGAGGCTCCATTCGCAAGTCGAAGCAACTTTTTGTGAATGGAACCATTCATAATTCAAATCGTTCACAAGTGGAGATGTTCGTAAGTCAATGTACCACTGTATACAGATAGTTGACAGAGTTCAGATAGGACAGTGGTTGCATAATGCCATTATGATTGGCCCAAGGAAAGGCAATTAAGCAAGCTCTCTATCAC